CCTGGAGACAGTAATACATGCATTCATTACATCTAGGCTTGATTACTTCAATTCACTCCTGTTTGGTATCAGTCAGACCTCCATTGCATGACTGCAACTGGTCCAGAATGCAGCAGCCCAATTTTTAACCAGTACAGGCAAAAGAGAGCACATTACACCAGTTTTGGCCTCACTGCACTGGCTACCGGTTCCACTTTAAATCCAGTTCAAAATACTCCTGTATGTCTACAAATCGCTGAACAGTTTCGCCCCCTCCCCCATCTCTCTGATCTGCTACAACCGTATGTCCCACCATGTTCCCTGAGGTCAGCGGACCAATTGCTCCTCACAGTTCCAGGAACTCATCTTAAGCGCAGAGGTGACAGGGCCTTCTCTGTAGTAGGACCAAGACTTTGGAATGAGTTACCTCTGCTTGTCAGACTGACCCCTCTCTCTCGGTTTTCAAATCCCATTTAAAAACTCACTACTATTCAGTAGCTTTCGACACCAGAGGATCTGTGTTTTGAACGTGTAAGCTCCACACTGGTTTGTCGTCATATTTATTATCTGCATCGTTTTTATGTCTATATTTTTGATTTACTTCATTTTGCATATTGCTTCATGTGTTGTCTGTTGTTCTGTCTGTACAGCACTTTGGTTGGCCTTGTAGCTGTTTTAAGTGCCCTATAAATAAAATGGTATGGTATAGTATGGTATTTTTCATCTCTTTCAACTTGCCCACAAGGACTTATGTGCAGAGATGTGCTGCTAAGTAAAATTTAGTAACTACATATACAGTAAGTATATTGTTAAAATTAGTAGGTTTTCTAGTTTATAACATTGATTGTGTGCTTTGTCGCTGCAGGGTATGTCTGCAGAAACATAACTGAGTCAGACCAGAACCGAGAGCTTTTGCTGTGTTCTGCAGAGCCTGGTGAGTAAAATTTAGTAGCTATATATACAGTGCTGTACGTATGTTTTCAAAATGACATTTGTTTAAGAGTTTAGAACATTGAAAGACTGTGGGAAGGGTTTGTAAAGCCTTATATATATAT